GACAGTGTGCATCTGGACAGACTCAGAATAGGTGGTGTCACAGAATGCAAGGAGAAGTACTGGCTGCCTGTGGGACAGCAGAGGTCTGTTTCATGAATAGAAGCAGACTCCTGGACAAGCGCAAAGGCTAGTGGCACTCCTTCAAAGAACAAGGATGAAGACCTCAAGTCAGAGAAGAAAGGAAACCTTACCAGGAACAGCTGCAGGAACAGTACGGTGGAGAGCTGTGACAGTGGCCATTGCTACTTGCTCTGGAGTATACTTCTTGGTGCAGGCATGTCCAGCTGTCACCATGTTGGGCTTCAACAGGGTGCCCTCCAAGTAAACATGATGGTCATTTAAGGCCTTGTAGACAGCAGCCAGGACCTGAAGGACAAGAAGTCCAGACAGGTGAAACCCAGAGCCCGCTGTAGAGTCACCTGACCTTGGCACTTTTACACTGCAGGGATGCAGGATGAAGGAATTTCCATATGTTTCTTGGCCAAGCCTTCCCAACCAGCCCCTAGGCCTAGTCAGAATAATGCATTGCAGACCACAGCCACTGAGCACAGCCAAGCTGGCCTGTCCTTGCTGTCCCTCCCCTAACTCTCACTGCATGGACCACTGACATGGCTCTGCTTCCTAGAGCCCTTCACACCTTCCTTCCCATTACTCCCTTTGGCCAATGGAGCCTGCCTTGATTTAGTTAGCTGTGAACATTTAAATTGGTCCCCATTCTCCACCCCTGTAGATGCTGAGTGATCATAAAAATGCATTTTAGAGACAGAAGTATTTTCAGATCTCATTTCAGTCCACCGCATTTTCCAAGTGGAGAAACTGAGGTCAGGTTTTATTATGACTCTCTTACTTTCCTACAGATACATTCTGGCTAATTTAGAAAGTCACATGTGAAAAAAAATACTTTCTAATTACAGTTTCTCATAGGAGCCTCATCTTATTTCAGATGTCTTAGTTTATACATAATGGAACTGAGGTCCAGAAAGTTAATGTGACTTGCCTCAGGTCCACAACTGGGAACACAGATTCTCAAGCCCTAGTCTTGGTACTGCAGATCCTGTGTTTTTTCTGTAGCGGGCATACCACTTTCCCCCAAAGAGTAGAAAATTTGATAACTCCTCCTTACCTTCTCAGTGCTACATTATGATTCTAACTGAAGAACGCTTCCTATATAACAGCTGATATATATGAAGTAACAACTGTTGCTTAAAAACAGATTTTTCAAGTGGTGTTAGGATCTTTATATTTAAGACTTACTTTCTCAGTAACATACTGGCAGTGCTCCATGTCATGGTCTCCATCAGGAATTACCTCTGGTTCAACAATGGGTACCAGCCCATTCTAAAAAGGAAAAAGGAGGGGACAGAATGAAGCTCTGCTCACTGGGATCCTTTCCTTAGGAAGATATTAACAGTTGCAACTGGTATAAAATGAAGTGCTTATGGAGAAATACCATACAGGTAACTTAAAGACAGTGAAAAGAAATGTAATGGGATCTCTAGTGAGCATTTGTGGCTTAGCTAAAATAGAACAGTGAGCGGGGAAAAGTTTTCCTGGGAATGGGGTAAAATAAATGCAAACTTAATTTCTATGTCTTATTCTAGAGACTACTCTAACTACTTCAGAACCTAGCTGTCACCCTTTTAGGACAGTCAAGCTTAAATCACTAAGAAAGCTGCCTCTTGCATGGGTTAATTAAAGAATTCAAGCAGTGTTTACAATTCTAACTGGGAATCTCCAGGTGCCCACAACTCAGGTAACCCCAACATAGCACCCGCTAAAGCAAATCAGACTTAACTTGGATCCCAGACTCCACATACATTGGAAACTTAAGCATCAGGCGACCGTCCTCTAAGAAATTATTTGGATGGGGACTAGATCAGAGCTGTCACCCTTGAGCTGGGGGTTTAAGAGAATCATGTCCTTGAACATGGTGGAGCAAAGACAAGTAAGTGCCTTGGCCTCAAGAGCTATTGCTTTTAAGACTCAGCTCACAGTGCTTTGGTAGAGGGCTGCAGTGAGCAGAGTTTGCCTTTTTTTTTTGACTCACAGCTGACTTGTGAAACCACATCTTTTCCCTACCACACCTGGCTACAGCAAAGGTAATGAAAAATGCCACGAGAGAAAAGGAGGGGTCACGTGTGGTTGTACTGAAACTGGAAAGATGGACTCTAAAGAAAGCTCTCGCCTCCTGTTTTTTAAGCCCAAAGGGAAGGAAGAGCACCTGCTGACAGATGCTGGCATAGCGGGCCAGGGTGTTGGCATTTTCCTGGATTGCAAGTTGGGATGGGCAGTGGTTGTCAATCCTCAGCACAGCACGCCATTTCCCAAAGTCAGCACCATCTTTCTTATACTGGGCACAGCGTTGAGAAAGGCCATCCAGCCCTGCAAGTCACGAGAGAGAGAGACTTCTTTGCACCCCTGTCTTTGACCCTGGGGCTGCTGATAAAGTGAAGGAGTTCACCCTTGGCTTAGCTTTTAGTCACAAAGCTTGAGGGACCAAAACATCCAGGCAAAGAAACATTAATTCCAATACTGAGCCAACACCTGGGTTTAACAAATATGCTTTTGATTGTATATACTCTATAAGATACTCTATAAGAAGAATAAAGGGAACCAATATTTATTCAGAACTTACTATGTTCCAGGCATGATTCTAGGCATTTTGCACACCTTATCTCATTTAATTATCATAACAACCCTAACAGTTGTTACAGTATTACAACCTAATAGTCATAACCATACAACCCTCATAGTTGTAGACTCATTTTACAGACTTAGAAACTGAGGCTCTGAGAGGTTAAGTGATTTCTCCAAGTTTGAGGAGCTAAAGAGTGACAGAGCTGGGATTCAAATTCTGCTTAGCTAATCCAATGCTATGGTTTATACTTGTCAACTTGGGCAGTGGTGTACTATGCAAAATGATCCAAGTAGTATGTGATGGAAGCAGGATTCAGATCCAAGTGTGTCTGATCCCATAGCTTGGGCTCTTTCCTCTCTACTGCTTCTACTGGATTTTTCTCTAAAATAATATTACCAAGTACAGAGTATCTTCTCTGTGCAAAGCATTGTGGTAAGCATTCATGTACATTGTCTAATTTAATCCCCAAGACCATTCCATGAAGTAGTTATTGTTATCCCATTTTAACTGAGACCCAGAACATTTAAGTGACTAGCCTGAGGGCACACAGTTATTGAGTTGAGGAGCTGAGACTGAAGAACAGGTGTGTGGCTCTAAAACCAGTGTGATATTCATTTTTGTTTTCCCCTCGCTCACTTCTTGCTTGCCTTCATGTCTGGCATATATTGGCAAGATCCATATCGGTGAGTAATATCCTTACCTTGAGTGCTGGTTTCTTTGTTTGTTCCTGCAAGGGGAGCAACTCCTTGGTCTAACTGTGAATATAAATATTTAACAAGTAATTACCAGGTGTCAGGTGTCCCAGTAAAATACAAGCAGAGCCCCTGGTGCTAACTGGTAGCTCTCATCTTTTATAAACCAAAGAATTAGGAAAGTGTATTAGTCATTGAGGGAACACAATTCAGTCCAAAGCAGAAGGGAAGTTATCTGGAAGGAACAGTGTAAGAGTGTCAACCCTAAGAGGATGGAAACTATGGAAAGCACAGGCCTGGAGCTTTGGAAGTAAGAAGTCATCTGACAGAACCTGGGATGTAGAGGTGCCATAAAAGAGCAGCCTCCTTTAAATTATTCATTCATTTATTGAAGAGACATTTATTAAGCACCTGCACATAACAAGCACTATGCTATTACAGAAGATAAGAGGAAAGAGGATGTAGCCTCTCACATAGCAGAGGCTAAGGTTATGAGCCCTGGAAGGAGACAGTGTGGGCCTGAACTGGCTCCAATTTTGCCTTGCTGTGGGCAAATTATACTACGCCTTGTAATTCTGTTTTCTCTCCTCATCTGTAAAAGAGGTATTAATTATGCTGTACAGCAGAAATTCACACATTGTAACTGACCATACTTCAGTAAAAATTAATTAACTAATCAATTAATTAATTAATTAAAAGAGGGATTATAACTGAGTCTACCTTCAGAGGTTGTGAAGAGGAATAAATGAGTGCTTGGAGTCCTAAGCACTCAACGAATACTAAGGGTCCCTCTTGAGAAGTTCATGCTGTTTTGGAAGACCTCGTTCCAGCAGCACAATAAGTGCTTCAGCAATTATAGCTATCATGAGCTAAATAATAATGACGTGATAGGAACTGTCTTTAAAACTCATTTCATCCTTCTAAGAACCTTATGGGGTAGGTACTATTATTCCCATTTTAGAAATGAAGAAATAGAGACACAAAGAGACTAAGTACCTCGTAGGAAAGTGGTTGAAAGAAGAGGGTACTGGAAAAGCTCAGAAGAGGACCTGGTTCTCAGGAGGAAGGTGATGATGGAAAGGAGTGAGAACAGTAATCAGATGGTGAGAGTGTCCGCACGTTGGCCCTGCCCGAGCCACTGTGCTGGGAGCGCGGCTGCGGTGAGACGGAGGCGAGATTTATTCACCTTGATTCCCACCACGATCCCCTTTTCCTTGAGGATGTCTCTGAACAGCTTTCCCTGGCTGTCCTTTTGGTAGAGGGTCTCATGGAAGAGGATCACACCCCCGATGCTCTGGTTGACAGAGCTGTCCACGGTGAAGAGGAGTTCTCGGAACTGCCGGCGGTTCTCTTCCGTGTTCTCCACCTTGATCCTCTGCAGGCGGCTTCCCATGGTGCCTACGGCAGGCGGGTGAGGGCAGCATAAGGAGCAAACCGGGGCTTCCCTGCTGCCCTCCTCCACACCAGCTCAGTGACCCTCATCAGGATGCGCAGCAACACTCTCTTTTCACCCCAGATCTTCAGAACTCCTGCCTCTTTATTTTGTCTCCCCAGGGAAAGACCTTGGTTGCTGTCAAGACTCTGGGAAGGGATGCATGGACTGGGAATTCCAGGGGCAGGGTGGAAGCTGCCATCAGGTCCAAGTGGGTCAGTAAGGCCCTCAGGCCTCTCTAGCTCTCCCCTGGTCCAGCCGTCCATCTCACTGGCTCTACGCACAGTGGAAGGAGTGATGGGGCAGGCTCTTGACTTCTCTGGCTTCTACCATTTTATAGTGGGCTGTGCAGGCCTGCCACAGCTCACCCTTGTGCCATCCTGAGCTTCTTTCAGCCACAAGCTCTTTCCTGTTCCATGTATGGACACTTCCCTGATCTCTCTGCCCTTCCATGGCTGACCTCACACTGACTTCTAACTAGCAGCAGAGGTCTCATCCAGGTTACTGAGTTCCTGACCTTGCTACGGCTTAGATTCAAATGACCTCTGGCAAGTGGCCTTAAAATGAAGGGCTTGAGCCTGTTCCCTTGCTTTTCAGAAACCTGCCTTCTGGAATGGCAAGACTCAAAAGGGCTACGCTTACTGAGTCTTCTGCCCCCACTCCTGTATGTATAAACCTTTCATTGCTCTGAGAGGAAAGGGAATGTGATTATAAACGTGCCTTTGCTAAGTGCAGAATCAAGGGTCTGCTTGTTGTATGATGTTTCTTGCACTCACCTACAGACTCATCTGCAGCCAGGATCCCCTTCCCATTGGCAACAATGCGCCGGGCAGTTTCTGAGAGCTCCTTCTTCTGTTCTGGGGTGAGGGCTGGAAACTGGTAGGCCATGGTGACAGGTCTGGAAAAGAGTGCAGAAGAGTCAGTTGTGAACAGAACTGTAGGACACTCACATGGATTCATGACCAAGACAGCAGGTGTGCAGAAAAGCCCTATAGGCTCTCTGACATTTCTGGTCCATTTCTACAACTGGATGAACAAATGAGATCTGTTTTGGGTGTTTTTTTCCCCCTGAGCCTAAGTAGTTCCAATTAGCCATAATGGATGAAGGTGGGATGCCAAATTTCATGGTGATCCTCAACAGAGTGCCTTCCAGAAAGCCTTCAGGATCACTGATACTGAGACTAAACCAGCTAATGAGTGATCCACTCAAATCTAACAAATAGAGGGCATGGCAGTAATTGACTCTGTCTCTCTTCTGTGGACTTCTGGTGCCATCAGGTGCCCTGGATGGCTTGAGGCCAGGACAGTGAGGCTCTCAGCCTCTGTGGTCATCCTCATTTTGCTCTGTTAGACTGCAGTCCCACCAGAGTATTCTCTAGGAGCAAGCCTGAGAGGAGAAACCACCATTTGGCCTTGAATTTAACCTCCCTTCAGCTTTGGGACATAGAGGGTGGGGTGCAAGTCTCCTTTTTCTTATGTTCAACCACCTATAAGACCATTTGGGGTAGATGGGAAGATTTTCCCTAAGTGCCTCTGGGCCAGAGGTTCCCGGAAGCTCTAAGGATGCTGACATCAGATATTGATTCCTGCTCCAGTAATTCTCAGGTTCACTGCTTTGGTAAGGAGAGACTCTGGCTCCAAGATCCCCTACCCAAGCAACCTCTTCAGCAGTGGTCATCTGAAAGGGATCATTGATCCTGTTTGGCTGCCACTTTGGGCTAGTCTTGAAAATGCAAGCTCATAGGGCTCTCATCTTAGATGTCAGAAGGAATACTTTTGCATAGGTTGGATTATCAAAGAAAAAAAAATGGAAGTGAGGATTACCTTGAGCAATTTCTTATTCAACCCTGGTCTCTGCCTTTCCCCAGTCTCCTCTCCCCTCATACACTCATATAAGCGCAGATGTCCTGTGTCTGCTTTCCATTTCCTGGAAGCTAAGGGACACCTCACTTCTCACTAGATCCACTCGACAATGAGGTAACCACAACAGGTACTACCTTTATTAATTAGTGAACAAGCCAAGACTCAGAAAAGTTAACTGAATTGCCCAAGGTCCCACCTAGGATGAGGCAGAGCCCTCCACCCAGTTTTACTTCTCATGTCAAACTGATCTTTTCACATTTTCTGCCTCCCTTCTAGGCATTCTAGGTTCAGCACTCTATCCCTTGATACAAGAAGTCAATGGCTACTGAACCAATAATTCATAAGAAGGTGTAACTGATGTCACTCTTATTGGGGCTACTCTCACTTTATACTTAACTCCAAAGAACAGAACCACAAATGCCGTCACTGGGGTACCAGGATAGGCTAGTGGGCAACGATTTCTAGAGAAGATGATTTCCCAAGACCCCTCACATCCCAGCCACCTGAATACAATGTCTCCCCAGTTTACACATTAGTTCCTAGACTGTAGACAGTGACTGTTAGCTTTGGCTCTGACTTTTAGACCGAAGTGCAAACTTTTTCTTGCAGTTTAGATATTTGCACAAAGGAGTTGACAATTATCAAAAAACAAAGACGTTTTCTTAATGAAACAAAAGGAAAACATAGACCTGTAACAGCAAATGATCATTTATTGCCAAGCACTTTGCTAACTGCTTTACATGCACTATAAAATTTATTCTTCACAATAATCTCAAAAGGCAGCTGGACTTTCCCCAACTGTGTAATAGATGAGAAAAGAATACAAGACAGTTTAATTATTTGTCCAAGGACGAACAGCTAATAAGGCAGAAAGTTGGGATAAGGGACAGGACTCCCTCTTAAAGAAAGAGTGAGCTTGGTGAAAGAAATTGGCCTTTGGATGACTCCAGTGTCCTTGATGACGCCCCCGGAGTGCCTGGTGATGACATCCCAGAGGATCCTTGGGCTGTGGACCATTATCCCCATACCACATTACTACTTCATAAATATCTGAATCATTCACACAGAAGTAGATCAGACAGACCTGGGTTCAAGGACCAGCTCTGCCTCCTCATTGGGCCCACAGGCAAGTTGGTAACTTTCCTGAGTCTTGGTTTACTATGGATTAAATGGCTATAATATTTGCTCTGCTTGTATCATTGCCCAGTGGTCAGATGTGACCTGTGAGCACACTACTCATTGTATTTGCTCAAAATATATTTGTTGAATCGCATGATAAACATTAAGATGCTTTATAAAGCATTATGAAAATGTCAGGCATCGCTAGTTCTTTTTCAATTTTTAAAATAATAATTGCCTAAGGCATTTCCATGTTTCTGTTCACTACCAAGCTATTTTCTTCAGTCTGTGTGCTGACTCAACCAGAAAAAACAGAGAAAAGGTCAAATTGAACCAATACTGTTTATGGGAAGTTAAACTTCTACAAAGAGATTAAAGTTCTGCACCACATCAGCACAAACGTTGCCTCTCTGTTAATCATAAAACAGGGGCGCAGGCCAACGTTCACCACCGGAAGACAGGAGGCCAGCTGGGAGACAGTGATGATAGAGAATGATTTCTGTGTCCCTGAGACCTCCTGAGGTCTGAAGCCAGCTTTTAAAAAGTGGGAAATTGTTCACATTACATGATAAAGTAAAAAAAAAAAAGCAAGTTTCAGAAAGGTATGCAATACATAGTAGTATCACTTTTTAAATTAAAAAAATGGTATACACACATACTGTATTTGAGTCTATATAAGCAGAGAATAACTACACTGGGGTTACTTCCAGGGAATGGAATGGGGTGGGGTGACTCACAATTCACTCTATGGAGTTTTTGTAATGTTTGATTTCTCAGTGAATGAGCTTACATAGGCATCTTTTACTGTACATAATCTATTAACAAATAGACGGTAAACACAGAAAAACAGAACTACAAGTGACCTCAGAGATATCTGTACCAACCCTGCTAACTTTAGAGATGGAGAAACTGAGGCCCAGAAGAAATATGTCTGCTGCCCCTTCTAAGGTGTGATTGTAAATCACATCCTACTAGCTTACGACTTGGAGTCCTTTTTCCAGTCCTTCTTCAGCAAAACAGCAGATGAAACCCTACAGTATAGTTCTTTCTACCTTCCCTGAAGAGGTTCTGTGAAAAGATAGTAATTTGTAAATGATCAATATTTAATTCCTGGAGAAACAGAAGGGAGTAGAGAGTACATTTGCTTCTCCATGTACAAGGCAGGTGGATTTTTCAAGAAGACATGAGGAGCTTATCTATTGGAAGCCTATGACGGTCGGGCAGTGCACACAGCACTTGTACACACAGATGCAGGAAGATGCCACAGCTTTGTTGTGTATCCTGATACCACAGTGACAAACGCAATGAGGTGCTCCAGAACAGCCTGCCCCCTGGTGCTTTGGACACACGTGGAGCAGCTCAGAAAAAGACCTGAGTGTTGCTCTTTCCTCTAAACTATGCCAAAGGAGCTCCTAGGTTTACAGCAATTACACTCCATTTCCTGCCCCAGCACCTCAGGTCTAGCCTGGGCAGTCCTCAGATGTGCCTTAGCTAAAGTAATGGTGGCCACAGAGCCAGAGCCCCTGCTGGATCCACACTGGCTAATGGAACCCCAGGGAACTACTTACAGAGAAGTTTATTTTAAAAGGCAACATATCCTCACAACATGCCTATTCTTCAGCTAGTAGAACAAATGCACCAAAATACATTAGCAGCTTTTGATTCCTAATATCTTAAGCTGTAGGATCTTCAGAGTAGAAAATGTTATGGAAGGTAGCAAACAAGGGAAGAGTTTGACAATCGGTAATCAAATGAGAACTATGCTCTGCAATGCCTGTTCCATTTTCTTGTTTGAGCAGTGGGTGAAGACAAAGGGTAAAATAGGCCAAGAGTTCATTTCTATGACAAAGAAATATCAGCGCTGGTACTAGTCGGTGTGGGCAGAAAATGAAGAAAATGACACAAGGCGATAGATACATAAATAAATCATCTCACCTGAACAAGCAGTTGTTACGGTGAGAGCAGAAATGAGCAGGAATCTCAAATACTGAGTTGAACCTAACCAAATAGGAATATTCAAGCTGTTTCTCCTAAGCCAAGGACTCAGAAGAGCCCGCATACAGGTATCATCGGTACCAGGCATTGCCACCGCTCAGAGAAGCAGGAGAGGTAGGGAGAGAAAGCCATTTCAGCAGACCATCACGTTTCCAGCCACCATTCAATTTTTCCTGAAACCAGAAGCACACAGACTTTCCCCTCTCCGTGCTTAGTGCTGTCACTAATCCCTCACTCCGGGGTGCAGTCCCGGTAGGCAAAGGGAGTCCTTTTACTTACAGTGTGAGAGAGCAGAGTCCTCTCAGGTATCGGAAGCTGTGGATGAGACAGCAGCTGCCAAACACGATGAATCTTCAGGAACACACAGTTTTTATAGACTTCTCATCAAAGCGTTTTTTTCTTTTTAACTTTTACCCTCCCCTTCCCACCCTGTCCTCCTAGGGAGGTGTTTAACCAGTAACTCGGATTGGCTCGTAAACAGCCAGTCCGGCTAATTATGCTCACGTGCTCTTCGTACTCACAGAGCGTTAAAGCCGTAAGGGATGTCAAGAGACCATGCAGTTCTTAATCCAGACTCTTCACATTACAGGTGCGGAAAAGGAGACACAGAGGATTAGGGGAGTCCCCTTCAGTCACACAGCGAGTGAATGACTGGGCTGTGGAGGCCACCAAGGGAAACTGGGAAGCGTGTTAGGTTATCTCCAGCACCTACTACACACTTAACCTTGGTCAAGCTTCTTTTCACTTCTCTGAGCCTGAATTTCCTCCTCTGTAAAGTGAGATCTGAACCTCACAAGAGCTCTAGATGAGTTTGTAAAGTGCCTGCACACAGTAGGCATTCAAAGATCCTTCCTAGTTCCCCCAGAGGAAGCTGGGCACTGATGGTTTTAATGTCAGAACATACTGTCTTTTACTCTCTTCTCATTCTCTCCTAACCTGTACATTTTTGTCTTTAAAGTTGGAAAAAAAACAGAATAAAACTCAAAGTGATTGATGTAAGCCATCAGCTCATCTAGTTACAGCACTGTCTGGATAAGGTCATTCTAAAAGAGTGTTTTCCTTGAGCATTAAACCAAAATCTAATTCAAGAGAAGGCAAATAAAAATAGTGTATACTTCCTGAGGCAAATAATGAATAAGGCAAATAAAAGTTACAGGGAATCTAAAAACAATGGGATGACCATGATCACAGGAAAGTATCCATTCTCAGGAATACGAATATGTTCATACTCCTTTGGAATAACTCATAAGAGAAAAACGCTAAAAAGCCAAAGCTCTCTAGAGTATAGAGTGTAACATTATACTGAGTGAAATGTCAATGAAATAGAAGGAAAGGAAGTAGGGAGTTGTGTTATTTAAATAGAGTTTAGGTTCAGCTTCTAAAAATGAGAGTGTTAAACACTGAATGTGATTATTGAAGGCTTTGTCTTGGGAAGTTTGGCCAAGCCCTGTCCTGAGGATAACCCAGGGCCAGACCGGGTGAACTTCCCTCAGCTCTCTTGACTCCACCTGCCTCCCCAAGGCACACTTTCTGGTTTCTTCATCTCCACCTGGTGCTCATTCAAGCACCCAGTGCTTGATTCCTCAGACCAAGATGATCTGATCTGGGGACACGTGAGCTTTCATCAAATCTGATTTTTGTGGAAGGAGAAAAGAGGAACAAGGAAGTTGATAAAAGAATGGAGAGTGGGGTTGGTGACAGATGTTGGGGGTCAGGGCTGGGGTGGTCAGAACCGTGACTGAAACATTCTACCCACTGAGAGATTCATGGTAGAAATAATTTCACTTATGTTCCTATTACTAATTATTCTTGTTTTAACAATGACAATGATAACAATAGCTCTTTTAAAAAATTCTGTGATGCATCTGATTATTTCTATATATTATCTCCACTCTCAGCACCTCTCAGAGGAAATGTTTATTAGCCTCATTTTCTGGATAAGGAAACTCTGGTTCAGAGAGGTTCAGTAACTCACCTAGAGTCACAGAACAGGTACAGGGAGAGCTGTTTCACTCCAAGTCGGTGGTCTAAAGCAGAGCTGCTTACGTTTTGGTAACTTCAGACTGCAGAGATTAGTTCTTTTCCTCTCCCCCTCCCAGCAGTTTATAACCTTGGACATTAAACCTGCATTAAACAGGAAAACATGACTTGCGTCGGCAGACCTAGGTGGCCCTGATCTTGCTGAGCATCGTTTCACGTGAACAGCAGACTGGCCAGGCACGTCAGAGGAGCATAAGTACCCCCGCCCCCAGAGTGGAGCTGCCTCCTGCTGCTCCTGGGGCATCAGCATTTGGCCACCACCAGGGTTTGATGAGCTTCCTGAAACTCAAAGTTCAGGAAAGCAAGGGTAAGGCTTACTGGACCTTAGAGAAACAGCAACTCCTGAGCAACACAGACTGCTTGCAGGTTTTTGGGTTTTTTTTCAAGTCTCTCAACTCAGTAAAACGTTGTAAATTGTAAAACTGAGATATCATGATAGGTGGGCTTGGAGGCTGTGAAACATTGTAGAATCTTCCAACCTCTTTAATCCGCAGTTTCACTACCTGTAAAATGGGCTAGTAATGACCCATCAGAAACTGGTTATGAAGATGAATGCAATAACATTCAACTAGGGATTTAGTACAGAGTACTTTTTCATTAAATAGCTGGATCTGAATGCATAATTCTGATTTAGAGGCCTCTGACTGCAGACTCTTCTAAAACGCAACACTAAGATGGTTCCATTCATGATCACTACTGTCAAAACCTCCAACAACTACCTCACTTATCTGTCTAAGGAAATGTGTGTGTGCAGTTAGGATGCTGCAGAGGCACAGTGAAATGGAAAGAATGGGCTGGAGAATTTCAGAAGCACTGAGTGACCAGTACTTAACCTGACTGTGGTCAGCAGTGACCACCACCCCCATTTCCCCCTAGTCCCTCGTGGTGAGTTGTTTACTGCTTCGTCAGTGTTTTCTCTTGGCCTTTTGCTCAATCATCCCAAAGTCCAATTCTTCTCTCACTATCTAATCAGGATTGTCAGTTACTTATGTCATCTATGACCCTCAACACAATGTTTCTTTTATTCTTCCTTATCTCTTTGGTGACTCTTCGACCTTCAGGAGAGAAGGCGTTGTGTGCCTGTGGAAAGAGGCCTAGATGAGGCGGCATGAGGTCTGCCTGTGGTCTAGTAGGGCCCCTGACTAGCCATGGGACCGAAGGAAATCACCTTCTCCCAGTCTCCCTTCCCTGACATGTAAGTCAGTCTAGCGATACCACTCCTGTCTAACTCTGCCGCGTTGCTGTGCTGACTGGACGACATCATCTAAATGAGCGCTTGGAAAAAGATAAAGCCTGCAGAATTACAAAGTGTAGTAAGCCACGTTACCTCATGGAAACAGACATTATACTGCTCCTGCAGCATGTACACACACACACACACACACTTTTGAGGATCAGAAAACAAGGTTCTGGCCTTAGCTCTACCCTGAGTAGCTGGATGACATGGCCCAAGGGAGGGCATTGCCATTTGTTGAGCTCTTACTTCTCACAGGGCCTTTCCTGGGCACTTCAGGTAGAACACTTCATTTAATCCCCACTACATCCATCAGCAGGGTAGGCATTGTTTTGGAGAGGAGGGAGCTGATTCTGCCTCTGGCTCAAGAGATACTACACCATCAGTAAGCAGCAGGGTAGGACTGACCTTGTGATTCTAAAGCCATTCTGGGACCTTGAACTCATCATCTGTACAGTGAAGGAAGGGTCCCGTCTAGCTGGGAGAGTCTACCATCTTTTCCCCCCCAAAATTGCATGTTTCTGGCATACATGTTTGTCCTAAAACAAAGGAAATGGTTTTAAAGAATAACACAAAAAGCAGTAATTTAAAAAACATAAATAATATAGAAATATTATATAATATAAATTAGACCAAAATTTTTTCTTTGGGGAAGTATTGTTGAAACAGATTATTTATTGACTGGAGATGCTCATAACGCTGGCATGTATCTGGCATGTACAAAAGAAACTGGGTGGTTCTAACCCCCTGCTCCTATTCCCCTGGTCTTTGGGTTTGTTTCATCCCACTTCAGCACCCTTTAGGAATGAAGACTGATAGGCTGACCAGATCCAGAACTACACTTTCCTAGAAAGCTGGTCAAAAGGCCCAGACACTGAGGGGCAGGCAGCCAACCAGCATGCAGGAGGCAGACAAGTCAACTGCTTAGTGACCACCTCAGTGCCACCTACCCTCCCACAAATGAAGAAAAGGGTCACTCTGCCTCCCGCGTAATTAATCCAGTCACTGACAAACTCAACCTTCTGCCTTTCTGAAGGTCCAGCCATATATTTTGTTGGTGAGTCCATAAAATTTAGTCATTAAGAATATAGACTTTGAAGTCAAATAGAACTTGCTTCAAATTCCAGCTCAGAGCTTCCTGGCTGTGTTACTTTAGGCAAGTTCTCTAACTTTGTTGAGCCCGTTTCCTCAGCAGCAAAAGAATAATAATAAAACTTAACCTACAACATTGTTGAAGGATTGGACTGAACGATGAACAAAAAGAGTTAAGTATAATGCCTGGCAAAAATTAAGTCCTGGATAAACAGCAGGTAACGTTATCATCACATCACCATCATTCCTTTCTCCTCTCCACATTCTCCAAACTCCCTTCTCTCTGTCACCAAAGAGGGGTATTTCTAAAATTTTTGCTCCTACAGCACCCAACCTCATCATCTCCTGTGTCCTTCATCCTGAATCCTGTCTCACTCCCACTCTCAAAAGCTGTCTCCATTTAATACTTAGAAAAACTGAGTTGGATCCTGAGTCCATCTCAAAAGTTGCATACCTACACCCAAGAAGAGGTACCCTCCCCCTTAGAGGGTAGTGGAGAGCTGTAGAAGAGGAAAGACTTTTTTACCCATTCGTGAATCAAAAAAGAGTATGACATCCACTGAAGGAGATGGAGAGTGGTTGAAGCAGGTTTGAGAACACTGAAGAAAATGGCAATATTATGTGTGAAAACTGTAAAGGGGTATGAAAGAGAGAAGGTGAATAAAGAGAGAAGGCCATGTACCCAGGCTTCTAGAATTAGAAGCAGACTGAATGGCAGGAAGGGTCACTCTGCCTGGTAGGCAGACAAGCTGACCTCATTAGCACTGCTGTGCTGCACCACTCAAGATGCACGACTGGCTTGCCCCATGCCACGGCATGCCTGTCCTCTGTGGCACAGCTGACTCTTAGGAGTGCTAGGCCCTGCTGGGCTGCCAGATGGAGGTGTAAATAATAGGGTGGAACAAGTTATCTCTGTGGCAGGAAGCCCAGAGAGGTCCGCATCCAATCACTGGCACCCCAGCAGAGCCAAACGATCCTGATCAGGCAGCGGATGCCCTGACTCCTTTAGAGGAGGGGGAGAGGGGAGTAGCCACCCTCTTTTAATCAGTTTCTTGCCACAGGCG